CCTTCCTTCCTTCCTTCCTTCCTTCCTTCCAGAAATTGCTAATTAAAGAAATAAACTGCCAATTGTTAGATCAACAATTCACTTCCTTCCTTCCTTCCTTCCTTTAAGAAATTGCTAACTAAAGAAATAAACTGCCAGTTGTTGGATCAACCATTCATTTCCTTCCTCCCTTCCTCTCCCATTCCCTCCTTCTCTCCTTCCTTCCCTTCTTCCTTCATTCCTCCCTCCCCCCATTTCCCATTCCTTCCTTCCCTTCCTCCTTCATTCCTTACTTCATTTCTCACTTCCTTCCTCACCCCCACCTGGTTCCTTCCTTCTCTCCTTCCTGTTGTTTCTTCAATGGTCACTAAATAAACTGCTATAAGTTGAGGACTACCTGTATTCTAGAGAGAGAGAGAGAGAGAGAGATTCCGGGATGATGGACTCCAGCATGAGGCCCAAAGCTTGGAAGAATAAACCTTGGTGGGGAGGGATTTTTTTCCCCAGGGACCGACTCAGGTTGGATCCCGTCAGATTATCCTGAGGAGTTTATATTTGCCTTAATTACATTTGCCTCCGTTAAGAGAAGGGGACAAACGGCCCTGAAACCCAAAGCTTACCCTCAGGGGGTTCTCGTTGAGGTACGGGGGTTCCCCCTCAATCATTTCAATGGCCATGATGCCCAGAGACCAAATGTCCACCTTGGGGCCGTAGGCTTTCCTTGTGACCACCTCAGGAGCCATCCAATATGGCGTCCCCACCATGGTGCTCCGCTTACTCTGCTCAGGAGTGATTTGGGCGCAAAAGCCAAAATCAGCTGGAGGAAAAAGAAAAGGAAAAAGAAAAAGAAAGAAAGAAAGAAAGAAAGAAAGAAAGAAAGAAAGAAAGAAAGAGTGGATGAAAAAAAATTCAAGCTAAGTGTCAGGATTCCACCACTTAACCCCCATTTAAATCACAAGTCTCGAGTGAAACTTCCAAAACTTCAAACGGATTTATTGGGAGTTAACATGGCCGGCACTGTCTGGGTGGAGCTGACGCTGAGACACATCAATCATTTGTCACCCTTGACTCTGGTTTTCCCACCACCACCACCCTCTGGGTGTATCATAATTCATATTCTCCAATGGGACACCTCCATAGCCCAGAGTCATCAATCATGCTCTCCAGTTGGAATTTTGCGGGGCAGAAACTTCGGTCACCTAGTTACCATCTTTGAAAACATTTATGGAATGCACTTTCGGTTTGCAAGCGGCTGCACTGCTCCCTCCTCCCTGTCTGTTGGCAACTCTAAAAAGACCATAGAAATATTTTATGAGTTGACACTAAGCTTGGTCTGCTCTAGCTGTCCTCAACCTGGTACCTCCCAAGAAGGAACAGCAATTCCCAGAACTTGTAGCTCCCATGGACAACTTCTTTGTACTCTTGGAGAAGCCAAAAAAATATACACTTTTTCTTATACAACAGGTCCTTGAGAAAGGTCTGAGAATGAGGGTTTGGTGTAGTGCGGAGGTGCTTGTCTAGATACCAGGAGATGGGGAGTTCTGGCAGGAAAACCAACTGCCATGACTTTGGACCAATCACCAGGAGATGGTGAATTCTAGTCCCACCTTAGGCAGGAAAACCAACTGACATGACTTTGGACCAATCACCAGGAGATGGTGAGTTCTAGTCCCACCTTAAGTCTGGAAAGCTGAGCTGTTGTGACTTTGGACCAATCACCA